TTCATTGTTTACAATACGGTTCGTTCAATTCAATCGTGGCCAGCACGGATCCATAAAATTCGAATGAACGAGTCGTAAGAATTGAACTAGATCACAATGCGACTCGTTCGTTCAAAAAATCGTGAAATTTGATTCATTGTTTACAATACGGTTTGTTCAATTGAATCGTGGCTAGCACGGATCCATAAAATTCGAATGAACGAGTCGTAAAAATTGAACTGGATCACAATGCGATTCGTTCGATTCTACGGCTCGTTTGTTCAAAGAATCGTGAAATTTGATTCATTGTTTACAATACGGTTTGTTCAATTGAATCGTGGCCAGCACGGATCCATAAAATTCAAATGAACGAGTCGTAAGAATTGAACTGGATCACAATGCGATTCGTTCGATTCTACGACTCGTTCGTTCAAAGAATTGTGAGAATTAATTCATTGTTTACAATACGGTTCGTTCAATTGAATCGTGGCCAGCACGGATCCATAAAATTCGAATGAACGAGTCGTAAGAATTGAACTAGATCACAATGCGACTCGTTCGTTCAAAGAATCGTGAAAATTAATTCATTGTTGACAATACGGTTCGTTCAATTGAATCGTGGCCAGCACAGATTCATAAAATTCGAATGAACGAGTCGTAAGAATTGAACTGGATCACAATGCGACTCGTTCGAGTTTAAGGCTCGTTTGTTCAAAGAATCGTGAAAATTGATTCCTTGTTGACAATACGGTTCGTTCAATTGAATCGTGGCCAGCACAGATCCATAAAATTCGAATGAACGAGTCGTAAGAATTTAATTGGATCAAAATGCGATTCGTTCGATTCTACGGCACGTTCGTTCAAAGAATCATAAGAATTGATTCATTGTTTACAAACCTGTTCGTTTTTACGTTTACATTTTTATATGAAATTAAACGCTCTACAACATCTATGACATCTCTCTTTTATTTGAACTTTTTTTTCTAGTCCTTACCGTTTCTCCGAATTTTCGGAAAAATAATTTCATTTATTTATTTCACCCCTTCTCGGGGGTGGATTTAGCCCTAAACAAACATCTTGGATATAAAATGCAAGCGATGTGAAAGTTATTTACAAAAAAATATCTATTTATACTTTATTTATACTGTGATATGCAAAATGTGTTAAGTTGTCGTAAGAGAGATTAATGTGAATTAATGATAATTATGAGAAATTGAATCGCGTGATTCGATTTACTAAAAAGAATCGCAATGCCCATCACTAGACTGTATAGACAGTCCAAGACAAATATTTCTCGCTGTTAGATGAAGTTAAAAAAATCTAAACCAGATTTAATTATTACTTTAAAGGGCATTAACATATTTGAGAAAATGGGAAAAATAAAACACCAATATAGAACTATCTCTCAGTCTACGGTCTTTATTGATTGCACAAAAACACTGAATAACAAAAAAAAAGAATATATAAATATTTTTACTAAATTTAGTTAAAATAATGTTTTAATTTGTACTGAACAGCTTTAAAATGTTTAATTTATTGCGTAAATCTTCCAGTATTTGTCAAGTGGTATTATTAGTTTTTTGCTAGTATTATTTCATTTATTTCTCTCTTGATTTCTTTTTTGGACTGGTACTAATTTAAACTAAACCAAATATTGGACGCTTTACGCAACATAAAAAATTCATTCGAAAATATAAACCTACGTAAAAGCGGGAAACAACCTCGTATCATCTCATTTAAATTAATGTACAATTGTATATACAATATTTTCAAAGTAAAATAATACAGTATTTTTCTACATTCTTAATTTAATCTATATAATTTTAAAACTTCACTTTTTCTTTTTTCTTTCAAAAACATCTCATCAAATTTGCCAATAATCAGCTGGTTTTTAATATTGACTACGTTTTCGAAAAAAAAACTATTCAAAACAAAGTGAAAAACAATCAATTGTAAAAGTTAAATCGTGTAATATCTTACAAATGGGGGAGGGGTGGATTTCTTTTTTTTCATTGGTCCGAAAATAAACTAACTGATATGTAAACTTTGGTCTCAAATTAGGAAAAATTAGGGCCGCGTAACAAATAAACAATTACGTAGGGAATTGGTCCTCTGTTGAAGAAAGTGCAGTCGAACAAATTTTACATTCTACAATATTTATATTTTATGTAAAATGTAAACTTCCTTTTCTAATACGTTTCAGTATAAAACTACCAATAATTTTCTTTTATTTTTTCTTTTGTGAAGAAATAATTTTATCAAAAAGTACCTACGTTTACATTTTACATAGTGGTGTTACAAATAAAAGCGACTGCTAAAACCGATTAACATTAGCAATTATTGGCAAAATGTAATAATGGGAGCAAAAAAAAATATTTACATTTTTTGTCATTTTAAAAATTATATAATTACATAATTTTGGAAGCAAGTTTAATAATGGTAATTTACCTATAACTGGTGTCATAATATATTGTAAATTTTCTATAAATATTCACTTTATTTCTTCACGCTTATACATTTACATAATCTTATTTTGACAAACTAGTATCAGCTAAAATTTTAGAATAGGTTAAGTTTCTTGGCAATATTTGTTTCTTGTTTTTTTTTCTTGGAAATTTTGTGAACCTTTTTATGTATACATAAGAAAAACCTATGATTCTTAACTCTTTAGGAACTTTGATACACCTCGCCAAAGCATTTATCTTCCAGTATATTTTACAACATGCAGCTTTACATAACCTTTTTTAAAATTTACATCGATTGCTTAAGACCTCTAAAATGGAGATCCGTGTCGTACAACATTACATTGCAATGTAGACATAGAAAAGTGTAATTTTACAAAGGCCTATTCTTGTGTAAAATTACATCGCAAAAATTATCTTCAAACACCAAAATCACATTAAGCTTTTGATTGCTTCTTGGGTGCATTTCCGTCGAAAGACGCGATGGTTATGTAAAATTACATAGGTAGCTCTAGCTGCCATTTATCAATTTATTACATTTAAACAGACATGCACTGACACATAAAGGAAACTGAAAAATAAAACTCCGTATCGTTATTTTTACCAAAATATATTTTTTTATCACATTGAAATCAAAATCTGAAAAATCTACAATAAACGAGGCCTCGATCAAATATTACTTAGTAGGATTTGTTTCGTTTTCGCTAAATATACTGTGTAATTCTACACCGAGAAGGAAAAAAATGTACCTATATAATGTCGATTAATATAATATTAGGTTAGAATGTACTTATAATTATATTAAAATATCACAGTTCGCAGAGTTCTATACAGATTACGTAACATCAGTTGTGACGAATTTACGTAAAGGTACGTGTCGCCAAAGAACCGGCAACACCGTCTTAAGTAATCTCTAACATATTACGCGGTCATCATATTTTTGCACTTTTAATTTTACATAGGTAAATTACGTGACACTTTTTTAATTACTTACAGAACTGATAAAATATCGCAAAAAACCCTAGTAAAAATTATTTTCAAAAATATTAAACAAGATATGAAAATGGTAACTAAAAATACCATAAAGTCAGGGAAGTTTTGTGGGGAGAATAATATAAAAATTACTGTCAAACTGAATTAATTACATATCTTTTTGAAGCAAGGAAGATATACTAAGGGTCGGCATTTCTGGTCTTGGGTGCCGGTTTTCATGTGTACGAAGAGTACGGCCAACATGCTTAGTAAAATAAGATGTACTGAATAAAGACAGAAGGCGAGTATTTTCCCAAGCGCATGGAATCTAGCGTCAGATTAAGTAGTTATGTAATAAATACTTCGTATTTTTGCTTACTCCGACTTACTAGATTGCCATAACGACTCACTCCTATACATGTAAACGCCGACCTAAAGGTTCGCTTGCCAGCGGGGTATAAGTATCTTTGTTTCAAGCTTGTTATGTACGGAAATTCGTTCAATAGGCGACAAAAAAGGGCTGTGCCTTTTATAACGGGGATGGGATAGGCAAATACAGGGTGGTCCGAATTGTATTCCGGAAACTTCGGTAGCATATTCTGCAGATAAAAATAAATAAAAAAGTTCGTATAAATGTAGGTCCTAAAATGCTTAGTTTCAGAGATACAGGGCGTAGAAGTTTCATTTTTATTTCGATCTTTTCTAAATAATTTCTGAAGTAACGTCAATATTTGGATGAAAATTGGTGTCTGGGAGTTTTTTGACATGAGAAATTTTATTTTGATGTCAATATGACTCCTACTAGTAGAGGGCGCCACCTACATGTGTTTTAACTGTTTTGAAGCGTAATAACTTGTTGTCCGTACCTGTATAAAACTACCGAGCGAAAAAAATAACATCTCTGTGACTTTTTATGTAAAAAATATCTCTTTGTAAAAATCGCTACGAGCAACCGTTCTTAAGATATTTAGAATGGAAATAGTCAATACATGTAATTATTGACGAAAAATAAACACACGTTGAGTAGATAGTTATTTCACTGAAATAATAAATTTGAAAATTTTTATTTTTTTTTAAATTAATTATAATTTTTTCTGCAAAAAATGACGATAAAACAGTTTCTGTTGAACTTTTGGCAGAAAAATATTTCAAGTTTATGATTTCAGTTAATAACTATTTAGTCAACATGTTAATTAATGTCAATGATGACAGGTATTAATAATTTCGATTTCAAATATCTCGAAAACCATTACTCGTACCGATTTTTACCAAGAGACCTTTTCTACGTAAAAAACGTCGCAAATGTATATTTTTTTACTCAGTAGTTTTATACAGGTACGGACAAAAAGTTATTACTCTTCAAACCGGTTAAAAAACATGTAGGTGGCGCCTTCTACTAGTAGGAGCCATATTAACATCAAAATCAAATTTCTCATGTCAAAAAACTTGCAGACACCAATTTTCATTCAAATATTGACTCTACTTCAGAAATTATTTGAAAAAAATCGAAATAAAAATTAAACTTGTACACCCTGTATCTCTGAAACTAAGCATTTTAGGACATACATTTATACGAACTTTTTTACTTATTTTTATCTGCAGAATATGCTGCCGAAGTTTCCGGAATACAGTTCGGACCACCCTGTATATTGGGACATGATTACAACAAATCCGAAATTATTTATTTCACAATTTGATTTTCACAGTTTGATCTGATGTGACTTTCACAGTGTGATTAACGAGTGGGGTGCCAAAACACAAGCCTGAATCATATTACCGAAATGAATACGGGACCTGAAAAATCATGTCACTATTAAAATTTGATATACCGTGTGGTACATCGGAACACGGAACAAAGGAAATCCCATTTAAATTTTAAATATGTCGAATATTATCTTCCCAGATAATTTTATGCCATAGTTGTATCAGACTTTTTTGAAGAGGCGTTAAATTTGTACTTTCGTCTAGAATTTCGTTTCATTTGGAATCGGCATTTAAATGTTATTTGCAAAAATCTACCTTCAAAATACTAAAATTTCATAATACGGCCCAGAGAAAGCTACAATAAAATACCAGCAAAAATGTGATTTTATCACTGTCAAAAAAAAGTCACGATGGGTAAATGGCATTTTGCTGGAAATAGTATCCCTGATGAGTTAGATATATTCGCAGCTCAGTTTCCGGACAGACATTACCGGACAGACATTAAAAATCAACAGTTCAAAGTATAATCCAGAGATTTGATACAAAGGCATGGCATTAAGCAAATGCTACATTTAGTATTGACAATTGCTAAAGTGAAGATAAAAATAATGAAGAGGAAGAAAACAATGATTTAAATATTCTTCGTGTGTTTAAGAAAACAAAAATACTAGTTCCCGTCTGCTGGGGAAGGCAACAGAAAAAGACCACATCACTATTTTTCGGACGTCATGGGTTCATCACAATATTAATTGGCCTGCCAGGTCTCTGATCTTTCGTTGGCTTGGAATAGCGGATTATTTGGACATTTTATTAACTGGTATAGTTGTCTAATAATAAAGTTTCTTGAGTTACAAATCTTTCGATTATTTCTTGAATTATTCCCAAATTAACGCCTCTTCAAAAAAGTTTAATACAACTTTTGCACAAAATCATCTGGGGAGATATTTGACCTTTTCAAAATTTACATGAGATTTTTTATGTACTGTGTTCCGAGGCACCACACGGTATAAAATATTATCATTATAGTATTATTAAGACACAGATTCTACTATTTGTGGATACCATTTTCAATTACTCTACCAAATGCCACCATTTTCATATTATGACGTTATAACTAAGAGAAAAAATGTTTCATCAACTTTGAAAGTTAGCTAAAAATCTGTCACGCAATTTAGTAGGATGTATATATAATGTTACATTACTTGATATATTTTTTCTTAACTTTACTTGTTATTTTGCTGTTTAGCAAATCTCACATTTATTTTTTTATGCGTAAAAAATATTGTGTATTTTTTAATTTATCTTTTAAAACTATTCCTTAACATTCCTCATAGTCATTGTTATAAAATCTAACATGACTGGTTGTCATTTAATATACATTCTAGAAACTTATTTGATTTTATATTAGCTTTGAATTGACCGTATCTACGTAATGCAACACTACACAAATCACATCCCTTTTGCTGTTTTAATCAATATTATCACCATGTGTAGTAACTCAAATACCTAATTTGATACTAGTAACAATACTCTTCAACCTCTACTTGTTTATAATTTTGACCTTAGGGTCTACGACTTCGAAATTAAACTTTTAAAAAGGTTCACGAAACTTACACACAGTATGTTTGTTAACATATTATTTTTAAGCCTATGTAATGCAACATCGATAATTAAATGGTAATATCTAGAAATTTTGGTTGGTTCAAATTCTGAACTACTAGAAACTCTGTATAAGGGGTCCCCTATCTAATAATGATTTCAGTAATGTACATCCAAATAAAACAAAAATTTAATTAACTAAGAAAATACAAGAACATTTGCTATGATTATTATAGTGGTTTTATCGAAGCTAGCCGTGACGATGCTTTTTCTAGGTAAAGGTTTTCAGCAATTACTTTTTGATACAAATATCTTTTATACAAATATGACCCTAAGGTGTTATGAGCTATGAGTGATAACTTTCTTTGTAATTTTGTTTGAGCCGATTTTCTTATTTATTAGTTCTAGTATATAGGTTTTAGAGAAATGAAATTCAAGAGTCGCAAGTAACGTCACCACTAACTTTAATAAAGCTACTGATATTTCCATGAAAAAGAAAATTAACTTTACGAGTGACCCCTGTTATAATACTATCATTTTTTCTAAACTGGCCGCCTGTGTAGAAATTATGTTTTATCCCTTTTTTTTCAGTATTCTTCATAATTAAATGAAAATCATAAAAACATTACTTTGAATGCTTTATACTTAATTCAGTTGTTTGTTGCAGTAGATTACTTAAAGAGTGAATAGGTGATATAATTGTCACAAGCCAGTTTCGGTTCTTGTTACTATACTGGTACTTAATATAATAAATATAAAAAACCGTAGCTGTAATAATAAATTACTTAATATTTTTAAGAATTGGTTTGCGACAATTGACCTATTGCATACTTTAGAGAATTAAACTACACTTAACAACGATATAGTCAAGTTTAAAAATAATATTTACACCAATATGGCATGTATATACAATGTTCTCTAAAAAACAAAAATTTATCGCTATAATATTTTGATTGTAAAACTTTGCCCTGAAGAAGACCGAAAAGAAAGCCGCTTAAAACCATTTTCCCCGCCAAAATACTCATCTCCTTATTTACAATAATATACAGAGCGATTTTCTCTTTAGAATAATTTCAGTTTTAAATAATCTTAAACGTTAAAGACAAAACACGTCTTTATCCTGTACCAAACAGGATGAGTAGAAAGACTCGCGCCACTATTTTTTACAAAATCCGATCTAGTCTCGAATATTTTTATATAGCGGGCGTTGTAATTTCCGCAGCACACGCATATGTACCTAGAGATTCTGCATATGCGTACAGAATGTGCTTTCTCTTTCTATTATTCTCGCTTATTTTGTCTTTTTTCTCGCCCATTCTCTCGTATTATGTAGCGATATCACACTTAGAATTCACACTCACTAATGAGCTGACAGGAACTGTACTGATTTCATTCGAATAGAGCCAGAATGTCGTCGTTGGCTGACGTATTGTTGTGGCCCGAACTGCTGCCGCTAGATGGCGGCGTGTTGAGATCCGGCGGATCGAGGTAGGAGAGCAGTTCCATGGGATCCACGCTGTCGGGAAGGAGCTGGAATAGAAGAAAAACGTATTAGAAAAATTTCATCTTTTTTTTGGAACAAATTAATTTTTTTAATTTCGATTGTTGATAATAACTATTACACGTTTATTATTATGGGGCCATGTTTTGCACAGAGTGTAGGCGATCTCTCACATGGACTTGTGTGTCGATAGTCTGAAGTCTCTAGTAACTAGGTAGATTGTAGATTGTATGGGAAGGGGAAAGTTCTGGTGTTTTCCCATTTTTCCCACAGAATCTGCATTCGCTGTTGTTCTTAACTTCAATCTACTGATGTTTAGTTTTGGTTCATTGGGGAGACAGTGTCCTGTTAAAAACCCCGTGACAATCCGAAGACTGTTCTTACTTAAATCAAGGAAAATCTCTGATTTTTCTTGATGGTAGATCCTGAGAAATTTCTTTGAATGTCTTAGAGCGTTGGATGATTCCCATTCCAGGTTTTTGATGGAGTCCTTGGTGGGCTAACATGTTAGTAGGAAGACTTTTTATTTTCTTTGCCTAATTTGTTCAAGCAATTTGTTCAGCTATGTATTCTTTGACCAACTTTGTAGGTATTCTTTGACCAAATAGGTACTGAGTTGATCGCTATTTCTTGTTTCCGGTAGTTCCTATCTAACATAAATTTTACGTATCTCTCGATAGTGTAATTTTTGCCTGAAGGATGCTGGGGTAGGTGACCAATGTATTTAGAGTATTTAGTATTATTATTTAGGTCGGAGTATTTAGATTTCGACCCAAATACTCCTATCCCTGTTCCAGCTTTGGTTTTGGAAGCATCAGTATACCACGTTATGGTATGGTACTTTATAGTAACTAGGTATCTTGCACATAAAGTGAATTAATTTTATGCATTGTCTGGCCAGGGAAGTAAGAGTAATTTTTTGTCATTTTAATAGAGAAACAATACCGAACTGAATTTCCTGTCCTTTTTGGATGACATCTGCTAAAATATACTTTGACTCGTTAGTCAGATTTAGTTACTGATGTACCTTGCAAGTTATCAATTTAGTGCACAGTTCAAAACTTTTTGTTATTGGGCAAATTACTTAATTAGTCTTGTTGTTATGGGTATGCTGGATGTTTCCCATATTGTATAGTTCAAAGTCGTTTGTAAGAAGCAGTATATCTACTAGATTTATGCTGTTGGTCCAAGAATCCAGCTTATTCTCGTTTCTTAAGTGTTAGTTCAGATAAAGAAATGTCATATTTGGAGCGTTACTGTTGTCTGCACAACAGCTGTATTTAATGATATTTGTCTAATGAATGTTTAGAGAATTTTTTAAATATATGTTGAGAATACTTACATTCAAAGCCTCTTGCCCCGTCCCTTCTCCGTCAATGACAGCTGCGGGGTCAAAGTTTAAGTCGCTGGGTATTTCCGGAATCGACGAATCGCCGTTTCCGTTACCGGAGTTTCCGGAATTGCTGCCGTTGTTACCACCGTTACTACTGTTATTGTAACTGTCGGAGTTTGGTGGTGGAACGCTGGGCGGCCCCGTGGTACCGCCCGGAGTGTGCGCGCTACCCGGAGTGCCACCTCCAGGTGTGTGCGGCGTGTGAGGGGTGTGTGGCGTATGCGGGGTGTGCGGCATCTATAAAGAAATTATAATTTTGTAATTACACGTCTATAATTACTCTAGAATGAAGGTAAAATATCCGAGATAAATTAGAAACAAGAAAAAATATATTCAACTCAATTTGTATATAATTAAATTATGTTAAGCAATATAAATACCTGTTCGTTTAGGCTCTTTTCCATAGCATTTAGGGGATCCAAAGAGTTGACGCTTTCGCTCAAATGAGATAGAGGTCCGCTTCCTCCGAGGTACTCACCAGAACTGGTGTATGTACCCATATTTGTGGAGTCCATTCCACTTCCTATAAGAATAATAAAATTAATACAAATTCAAGAATTTTATAATACAAGTTTGATAATTTTATGCACTACATTTAACAAACACTTACCTCTAGAGCCTCCACTGTATGTTGGGGGTCCATTAATCATTGACCCGCTGGCAATACTATTCATATCGGGCGGTAGGTATGGAGACATTGCCTGTGACATATCCCAATTGTTCATTGTTGGTAATGTCATGCTTCCAGGTGACATTGCTTTGTTCATGCGTTTTGATGCACAAGATTCATTTCCTTCATCTTCAAGCTGCAATAGTATTTAATAGTATTACTATATTATTTTAACTTTGTACAAATAGATTTAACCTACCTTAATACCAGTCTTAGCTGCCTTCCAATTAGCTTGACTGTCAATAGTTACATCCTCCACCTCATTTGGATTCACAGTGTTCAAGATGCCCCACATGTATTGATCTACTTCAAGTCCTTCCAGTTGTGCTGGTTTACTGTTTAGAAAAAATGTTAGCTTCGATATTTTATGATTAATTTTAAATTTAACACATACTTGCACACTGGACACCTCCATGAACCTCTTTCACAATTCAGCTGCAGATAGCTTTCCAAGTCAAAACATTGTATGTGTTTACATTCATGGCCCCTAGCTGGTAATACTATTCGTTTGAACGTTATTGGACACTTAAGCGACACCTAGAACATATTTCTTTGTTGAGTATCTTTTTATTGAAATATAAAATGGATATATTACCTTGAGAGCTGTTTGCTCCACAGCTTCCCTGTCATTTTGACCTGTTCCTGTGCTGTTAAAGTTTCTTTTGATTTTGGCGATGCAGTGTTCAGCGGTTAACAGTCGTTTTCTCAAAAGGCCTTGTAAAACAGATCTTACACTAGGCCTATGTACTAATTGCAATACAAACAAATGCGACTAAAAAAAGAGAAAAAATATATGAAAATTATTTACTTGCATTAAGTTAACAAAATAATAAAATTTTTAAGGTTACTTACACAACAACAAGCAGCTACAGTGATCTGAATGGTATTTCTGCCTGGTTGACAAACATCCTTAAGATAGAGGGGTTTATGAGAAGTCTTATTTTCCCCTCTGTCGATAACCAGTGGGGTGGCGTTTACAGAAACCTGCACGCTAGTAGGCCAATTAGTGTTCATTTGCCTGTCTTCGTGGTGGAAGCATTTCAACTGGAGTTCCAGATCTGATCGCCACATGAGCGTTTGGTGAACCGTGGGCTTCAGTTGGAAAACGTGATTACTGACTGCTAGGTTATGCTCTAAACGGAATGGCGGCAAAATTATACCATCTCTAACGGGAAACGTCAATCTTAACTCTTCCTCTTCTAAAATAAAATATTTTTGTTGAGTAATATGTTTATTATTTTTTTAAAATTTGTATTACTCACTTTGTGGTAGTGGAGGTTTCAAGTCACTAAAATTAGGCTTTACATCTGGATTAGGACTGATGTAGGGTGGAATACTGCTAGCGGGAGTAAGTGGAGGTGTTGGGTTTCCAGGGATAGGACTATGCTGGTAGTTCATATTGTTGCGCATAGCCACGTCTTGTTGGAACTGACTGGATGAGGTGTACTGTCCTTGAACTGAAAAGAAAATTTATTATAGCTTCATAAAAAAATATCATAATGTTTTAATGCGTACCGTTATGCCCCGTGCTGCTCATACTAAACTGACCAGAATTGTTGGTAGGAAATTGGTTCATGGAACCGTTAAAATACTGCCCTTGGTTAGTGTAGGGAGGTGTGGCTCCCCGTAGTTGTCTAGGATTTGATACTGGCCCCATAGTTCCAGGACCTGGTCCGAAGTTTCCGGTAGGTCCCAGGCTTTGCTGGGTAGGATACTGGTTGAAATTAGGCTGCCTCGTTCCATAACTTGCATATTGACCATTCGGATTGAAGTTGGGATTCATAGGATTAGGACCCATACTAGGGCCCATTGAGCCTATAGTCGGATTACCCATATTGCCTATAAACAAAGTTACTATTAGTTAAACAATTCGAAAAATTGGTAATTATATTTTATGTATATTTTTTAAATCTTAATTGAGTTTTTAAAAAGGTTAAATACCTGGACCCATGTTAGGATTTCCTATAGTCGGGCAAGGCCCATTAGGATAGCTTTGCCCCGCCCTTTTCTGCGTCATGTGCATGGCAGGTGACGGATAAGGTGCCATTCTTCTATTAGGATACATGGTATTAGATGTGGCTCCTCCAGGGCCTTGAATTGGCATACCCATTTTAGGACCCATTCCTGCAATTAAGAAATTTAAATTAATATGATTTTAAAGGTGCCCGGTGGCGTAGAGGCACAGCTCTTGTCTAGCATTGTAAAGACTGTGGGTGAGTAGTGAGTACTTGGAATTCACAATCCTGAAGTAATAATAGGCGGTTGAAGCGTAGTGCTAGCCACATTACCTTCTTTGTATACCGAACGGCTCTAGCATGGCAAGCTGTACCTTGCTACTATCAAGGCGTTAAACGCTATACACGGGAGCTATTATATTAAATTAATATGATTTTAAATTTGGAAGAATATCTTACCTCCCATATTGCCCATTCCGTTCATCCCGTGCATGGCGCTCATCTGGTTCATGCTATTCATGCCGTTCATGCCCATGGGGTTTCCCATGCCGTTCATCGACATCATTCGTTGCTGGTAGCTCTGGTTGTACTGCTGATTAGCGAACTGAGAATTGTCCTGTAAAGCCACCACACTGGCTGTCGCTGTGGCGGTAGCCGTAGCCGCTGCCACCATGGCCGCAGTAGACAGAGCGTTTCCCTGACTAGGATAACCGCCGCCTCCTGTAGGATCGGGCTGGTTCATACCATTCGGACCCGGACCATAACTGCTTAGTCTGAAACAAAACGTGAAAAAATAACGTTAGAATTTTTCAGGTGCGCTATGCAGTCGTACAAATACGTCGCCGCTATTATGTTTCCCACATTTGGCAGAAGGTCTTTGTTCTGTGCGCACTACGTACATACGTTGACAATTGGCGATCACCCTCTTTCAGCGATTGTTATTTAGAGTTGCAGCAGCGTTTTACCCACCACCGGTTTAGGTAAATGAAAGGAGAAAAAGAGAGGCCATTTTTTCCCATCTATTGGGTGTCGTTCCCCACGAACATTCGAATGTGTTCTATCGACGACGAGTTGCCAGAATTAGAGTGTGCGTCGATATGTTTGAAAATTTGCTAAACATTCTACTGACCAATTTAATAAAATTAATTAGTGTGATTAACAATTCTGCCTCTATTTAATTTTTTAATTTTCTATATTTTCTTATTCCGTTTTTTTTTGTTTTTTTTAAAAAGAAAAACAAATAAAAATATAATGTTGATTCTTTACTGGTTAAAATATTTATATTTGTATTTAGTTTTTCTTTATTCCTACATAAGAGTCTATTACGCTTTTAGGGTAAAGCGGGTGTGTGGCCGAAGGAAATATATGTTATATTTCAGAAATCTGCCTAAGGCTTAGCCCGATCCTGTCGTGTTAAGCCATACCCAAAATTCCATACACGTGCTTTGATTAAGGTTTGCAGAGCTTCAGCATTTGCCATAAAATAGCGAGCAATATGTCACAAAACCATATAAATTCAAATCAATTCATCAATGTAAACACAAAACTTCAATCTATTTCCATATTGTAACGGAATTTTAAATTATGTCTTTATTTTCGAGAAAATTTAGTTCAAACATAAGGAATATTTTGTTGATGTTTGACCATCAAAATCTTAAAAATTAAGAAGTTGTCTAAAAATGTGCTACAATACGGATATAGTATAATCCTTTATCTTTAATTTCCTTCTTCATTTGTGTAAAAACACTTAGCCAGTTTTACATAAACGTTAAATGCCGAACGCTTATTTTATTACTTTTTCGGACTAGTGAAATTGACTCTTAAGGGAAATGTGACGTCGTTGTTACGTTACCAGGACGTCTTTGAGAACGTAACGTAACCGTTACCTCACAAGAACGTAACAACGACGTCACCTAGGACACATTTTCCTTAAAGGAAAAAAATGCCCACTGGCCACTTTATTATTACTCTTTTAGAGAGTGAAATGGATATTAAACATTATATTATTTTCGGTTTTTAATAAACAAATTTGTATCTAGATATTTAACAATTAAGCTTAAATTAATTTTATTGATACATATTCATAGTGAACACAAGGAAATATCGATTAAAAAACTCAGCGTCGACTCTGAATATCCAAACTCGTCGGTATTAAAAAATCTCGACCCCACAGTTGTTTTCTATTGTCGCACCGCTGTATTTAGTTGGTTTTTAACGTTAACTTTGGTCCACGGTTTTTTGTTTGGCGACGAGACCGATACTGTGGGATAGTTTTTCTCTTCATTGTGTGTTTTTCTATTATTAAATTGTTACAACCGAAGAGACGTAAAAAACTGGATGCTGGTACGCATTCGTTATGACATTCTATTCAATTGTTGTGAATTTTTGAAGTGGTATCAGTGAATTTCGATGCATTTTTTAAAAATAGAAAAGCAAATAATAACCTGGGATAATTTTACTTCTAGCTTTTCAAAATATTTTGGAAAACTTGATGATAATTGTTTGTATAGACTTACAACTCTCGATTTTTTGTAATTAATGAATTAATTATTTAGAGTTTTTAGTGCCATAACATCATTATTCAGGAGTTCAATTTTCCTATCCATTTTTTCATATTTTTATATTTTTTCAATTTTCAACCTTATATCGTCAATAGAAAAACTGATTGAAGGCCAAGTAAAAGACAGCTGTCACTGTTATCAGTTTTTTTCCTTATATAAAATACGATAACTTTTTTCCGCACAAACCTCGTCGTCTGCAACCTCACCCTGACCTCCCTCCTCCCCGCCCCCTATCTACTTCTCTATTTCACTCCCATTTTCATCCCTCCATTTCCACGAACAGTAAACGTAGCATCTTGCCATCTCTCTGCCCTCAAACCAGCTCGAAAACTTCGAGGTCGATTCCATTTAGGGATGGGAAAATACAGAATAAGTTCGATAAGATATATCGAATAGAGGGAAAATAAATATCGATGTTTACTTAGACTAGTCTAGTAGACTTCGGAGAGGCCTATTAGTTTCCAGGTAAGTTGAAATGGAATAATACGTTTTAGCGAAGTTCATCTCAATGTGTCTTTTACCAAAGAAGATACCTCTTTCATCTAAACTGGGTGGATTATTGTATGAATTTTTTATCATTATACGTTTCTTTCTTAATTCGTATGATGCATTATCTTCTTTTGTGGATGGAATTGTTAGACATATTATTATTTGTAGTAAAAAAATCAAATTCATGTTTGTTATTTGCTAATTGGATGTTATTTAGAAAAGCTCCCAGACGAAAACAAAAGATAACAATGTTTAAACATATATAAAAAATATTACATTTATCCATAGTACAAATATGTGTATACCGGGTGTATCTCAAAAGTGGCTCACTCCTATAAATTTTTTATTTTTTTTCATTTAAAAAAATGGGATTTGGTATGTTAGAATATGACATAAATTAGGATTGATTGACGTATTCAATTGTTTTCGGTCACTTCCTGTTTCACCGGAAATTATTACAACTTTTGATTTTTAAATGGCACTCTCGGTATATTTTTAATTCTATAGAAAATAGCATTCTGAATAGAATGAGATATCATATGTCAATTTTTCGGTTAAAACAAAATTGTATTTTAAATTTCAATCTAGAGTGCCATGGCTGTGTTAGAAACACTAATTTTTAATCAAGGAGCCTTGGAAAAAAAATTTTATCGTCTAATTTTAAGGAGTTTTTAGCGTCTTACCCTGGCCGGTTAAAAGATGCCCAAATCGTATTTTTAATCATATCTAATTTTTTTCAAATGGAACAAGGGTGGCTCATTACCATATTTGGAAAAAGCATTTGTTACGAATAATTTACTACCACACACATTTCGAGTCAATTGCAATTTCAAATAAACCTTATGCGAAAATGTCAAAAGTTGTTATTCTGTTCAGAGTGTCATTTTCCAAATTTTCCTAATTCAAAAATACCGAGGATGTCATTTAATAATCAAAAGTTGTAGGCATTTTAACAGGAAGTGACCAAAAACAATTGACTATGTCAATCGATCCTAATTTTTGTCCTATACTAACATACCAAATCTGTTTTTTTACCTGAAAAAACAAATAAAAAAAAGTTATGGTGGTTTTGAGACGCACCTGGTATACAAAAGTATTGAATTTATCCATAGTACAGATATGGGTATATAATTTCTTGGTTTGGTTTTTAATTTCTTTTTTGTTTGGTGGTATAATTTTAGATACAGATATTATGCTTACACAATTTATACAGGGTGAGAATTTCAAAAGCAGCAATGGGGAATCTCTGTGAAACGAAAATACTAGCAATAATATTACAAATACATATCGAAGGATTGGAAGGAAAACAACAAGTCAAAGAAATTAGCTGTTCGATGATGTGACACACCAAACAGGTTCATAAAAAAGTAACTTCTCGCTACTTTTTAAGAAGCGAGATGGTGATATTACCTTGTAACAGAAATAACATGAATACCGATATCGATATTGCGAACACATTCCTAGTTTTGTCTCTTTCCTTTCCGCATCGTGACCGGCAAAGTCCTCGTTTTATCGACAATCCGCCCCCTTCTTGCCGAACATCCCTTCTTTTAGACGACGCCGACCGCCACCACCCCTTACTTAACTCCCCCGACTACAGTGCCTATCAGTGGCGTGCATTTTATCCTTTGATAATAAGTTTGTTTTTGTTTCGTAAAACAATAGGATTATTCTAAAAAAAGAAAGAATTTGCAAGAGCAAGACTGTGACTATATTTTCAATCAAATTTATAACCGAATTTCTATGACTAAACCTTCCGTTCAAATTATTAAAAACCACTTGCAGGAAGAAAATGAGAATTGGAAAAAGTAACAAATGAAGAGCTTTTGAAAAAAACAGTCCAGTGTTCAAAAGGTAAATTTGGGGTCCAATGAGACGAGGAAGCCAGTCATAAATAAGCCTTATATTCTTATAAGCTTGAGGTCACTGAACAATTTAAGAGATCTAACAGGTAGAAGTAATGAAGGGCTACTAGCCAAAACGACTTAACTTTACATCTACATCTATATGTAAATATTTATGATAAAAATTGTTAGTAGATATCTGAGTTGAGTACTTTTTCTTAAATCAAGTAATTTTTTTAAAGGACACCTTTTAAATCAAATCTATAAAATATTTCTTTATACCTCGACTAATAGTGAAAATTTGGAGCAATCTTTACACAATATATCTGGTTTATTTAGTCGTTCTTGAAACTTTATAGTCAAGCATTATACGTATGAATGTCAAAAATCCAAAACATGTTTTTTTTATTGTGGATAAGTATACACTAGAATGGTATTGTTTACTGTGAAGATTTGAAGTGATGACTCTTCAACGCAAGTATGTATTTGAAAAGTAGTCAAGTGAGAACATATTGAACTGAAAATTTACGAACAAATATTTAAAACAAATTATTATTAATGTGATTTATATTCTAAATGTATTTAGCATAATTCTTTATAGGGAGGGAGGTTACAACTCTGACTTTTAGTGAACTTTTAGTGACTTTTAGTGAACACACGACCCTGTATTTTTTTTGTAGGACACGATCGACAATATTTCAAAGGCGCAGAAGGTTTTGAAAAACCTGAAGGGCCTTATTTCTAATTGGTCAAAAAAGGCCAACATCGGCTCAGCCGGAAATACCTGAGCTTGGGAAATAGCACGGCCTGCTTTGATTTTGTGTGAGAGATTAGACGTTAAAACACGTAGAGCAGTCTAAAGTTACTATTATACAGGGT